AAAACAAAACCAGAAAATAACAATTGTTGGCAAGAATGTGGAGAAATCTGAACTCCTGTGCACTGTTGATGGGAATGTAAAATGGTACAACTGCTGTGGAAAACAGTATAAGAGATCCTCAAAAAATTAAAAATAAATACCATATGATCCCATAACTCCATTTCTGGATATATAACCAAAAGAATTGAAAACAGACTTCAAGATTTGTATGTCCGTGTTCACAGTAGCATCATTCACAATAGTTAAAATGTGAAAGACACTCAACTGTCCACTGACAGATGAGTGGATAAACAACAGAATGTAATTCAAAGGAAATTCTGACTTATGCTACAACATGGATGAATCCTTGAGGACATTATTCTAAGTGGAATAAGCCAGTCACAAAAAGACAAATACTGTGTAATTCCATTTACATGAGACTGTTGCAGTCAAAATCACAAAGACAGAAAAGTAGAATGTTGGTTGCCAGGGGCTGGTGGGGGGAAGGGAAGAATGAGGACTAATTGTTTAAAAGGTGGTTTCATTTTATAAGATGAAAAGAGTTCTGGAGATAGTGATGATGGTTGTATAACAACATGAATGTACTTACTGCCACTTAAAAATGGTTAAGATGGTAAATTTTCTTTTTATGTATATTTTCCAAAATTTTTTTTAAAAATGGAAAAATTAAGAATTAAGACAGTTTACAACAACAACAAAAGCATGGTGAATTTTAAGCACTCTTGAAGTATGGAGGAAATAAAAATTGGGGTTCAGAGTCCAACAAAGAGAAAAGCACCCTAACTCTTAGTTGAAACTCTTAAGGGACTACATCCTGGAGCTAGGAGAACCAAAGGGACACAGAATCTTGGAAAGATTACAACCTAGCTTTTGAACCAGCTCAATTACTGACTATATTGAGGCAATCTGCTCCACTACTGCCAAACAGAAAATTGGGTAAATTCTCTTTCTGGAGGTAACTAATCCAAAACTCCTATAATTATTTTTTAAACATATCTGACACTGACTCAAAAAAAATTACTAGGTGGAGACCAAGAAACAGGACAAAAAAGCCAGGTAAAAGAAAGACTTACAGTTAACATGGATATTAGCAATATTAGGCATGGACTTTAAAATAAGCATGATTAATTGTAAGAACACAGAAGATAAAATACTGCTACCAGCTCAGCTGGTTAAGCATCCACTCCTGAGACTCTGGATTTTGGCTCATGTCATGATCTCAAGGTTGTGAGATCAAGCCCTCCCTTGCCTTGGCTCTGTGCTGGGGTGTGGAGCCTGCTAAAGATTTTCTCTCCCCCCGCTGCTGCTACCCGAGACTCCCCGCCCAGAAAAAAAGATACCGCCATCAAATAACAATAATATTTTAAAAAAGAAATGGAACTTATGATTTCTGGTAATGGCAGAGTTAACTTGATTAATAATTACAAAATCAACATACAACTTTTAAAAAGGCAACCATTTAAAAAAGACAAATCTGGGGCACCTAGTCAATTAAGTCAATTAAGCTTCTGCTTTCTGCTCAGGTCATGATCCCAGTGTCCTGGGATCAAGGCTGCATGGGGCTCCTTGCTCTGCAGGGGGTCTGCTTCTCCCCCTCTTTCTGCCCCTCCCCCTGCTTATGTGTACACTCTCCTTCTCTAAAATAACAATATTTTTTAAAAAATAATAAAAATAAAAAAGATAAATCTATGAGCCCCTGGGTGACTCAGTCAGTTAAGCATCCATCTCTTGGTTTTGGCTCATATCATGATCTTGGGGTCCCGGGACTGAACCCCATGTTGGGCTCCCCACTCAGCAGGGAGCCTGCTTGAGATTCTTTCCCTCTGCCACTACCCTCAAGCTCACTCTCCCTCCCTCTCTTTCTTTAAAATAAATGTCTTAAGGGACGCCTGGGTGGCTCAGTTGGTTAAGCCGCTGCCTTCGGCTCAGGTCATGATCCCAGCATCCTGGGATCGAGTCCCACATCGGGCTCCTTGTTCTGTGGGGAGCCTGCTTCTCCCTCTGCCTCTGCCTGCCACTCTGTCTGCCTGTGCTCGCTCTCTCTCTCTCTCTCTCTCTCTGACAAATAAATAAATAAAATCTTTAAAAAAAAAATAAATGTCTTAAAATAAAAAATACAAATCTAAACTACAATGACAGGAAACTAGTCAGTGGCTGGCTGGAGTGTAACAAGGTGACTGGCTAGGAAAGAGCACCAGGAAGCTTTTGGGGTGTTGAAAATAGTCTATGTATCTTGACTGACACAGACTAAACACACTGCATTAGAAAACAATGACGTCCTCCTAGATGTCCATCTTCTAACACTTCCTCCCAAAACAACACAGAATAAGGAAAACCACAATGTCAGCATAACTCAAAGAATATCCAAACTTCAAAATAAGTATAAATGGGGAAAAAAAAAAAAAGGAAAACAGATCCCACTGAAACCTCTCTTGTCCTCTGGCAATCAGTTCCCCACACACTCACTCCCTGACCCACCTATATGCTCCTACATCATCTGACTTAAGGCCTGTGGAAAAATCAGACTAAGAAAAACTGCTGTAAAGAGGCCAGAGAATTGGTGGCAGTGGCAGGCATAAGGATGAAATATGCTATCAGAAGACAGACTAAGTACATCCCAAATCAGAAAATAATAAAAAGATATCCTAGTAGATCATAGTATGAGCTACATTTAATTAAACCACACAGACTTACATGTGTAAACTTAGGGGTGGGGAACGAAAATGGGGAAAGGAAAAACTGATATAGTGCTGCAGACAAGAGAATCAAAGAGGTTTTTCATAGGCCAATAGATGCAACCAAAACCCTATTAAGACACATTGAAGAAAGGTGTAAAAACAATGAAGAAAATGAAAAGGAGATAAAAGAAATAAAACAAGATCAGAAGCAAAATAATGGGAAGTAAGGAAGGTAAAAAGAATAAAATCCATACTACTGCATTCCATGGAGAGTAAAACATAAAACAATGGACTAGAACTAATATTTCAAATCATAATCCAAGAAAACTTCACAGACATTTTAAGAGACCAGAATCCACATATTAAAAGGGCCAATTGGTAACCTGGGAAAGTGAAGTCAGAATGGTCAATGTCTCACTGTACATCCTAATATAAAAATATTAGATTTCAAAGATAAATAAAGTCTCAAGGCCTAAATAAATAAACATAAATATCAAGACAATAGTAGAGAAGCATTTTTAAAATGCAATACAAAATGTTAATTTCAAATCCAGCCAGCTGTCCTTCAAGTATGGAGGACACTGAAACAGTTTTTAACATACAAGAATTTAGAATATTCTATACCAAAAGAGCCTTTCTTGAGTAGATGAACTTCATCCAACCAAGAGATAACTAAGAAAAATTCAGAGAAAGGACTGAAGATGATCATTTTAATATAAAAGTAGACGTACAGGGGCGCTTGGGTGGCTAAGTCGGTTAAAGCCTCTGCCTTCGGCTCAGGTCAAGATCTCAGGGTCCTAGGGTCCAGCCCCACATTTGGCTCTCTGCTCAGCAGGGAGCCTGCTTCTCCCTCTCTCTCTCTCTCTCTGCCTGCCTCTCTGCCTACTCATGATCTCTGTGTCAAATAAATAAATAAAATCTTTTAAAAAAAAATAAAAAGTAGACCAATAACTAAAAACTGGTGGAGATGAGGAATAAAGACTAAAGTACAAATGTTTTTATACTGTGACAAAGAAATGACACAACTAAAACTGGGAAAAGGCTGAGGAAGAAGAAAGTGGATTTTTGTATAGGTAATAGGCAGAAATTAAAGAATATCAATACAAGAAGGACAAACTTAAAACTGTAATGCTTCTAGAATAAAGCACAGGAGATAATCTTTGTAAGCTAGAGTTGCACAAACATTTCTTGGATAAAACATGAAAAGCATAATTTACAAAGAAAAACAATGAACTGAACTTTAGCAAAATTAAATGTTCGCTCTGTGAAAGACACTGGTGAGACAATGATATAACACGCTACAAAGAAATTTTTCCCAAATCACTCCATGGCAAAAGACATGGATCTTGGATACATAAAAATGCTAAAAACTCAACCATATGAAAACAAATAACTCAGTAAGAAAAACTGGGCAAAAAATTTGAACACACACTTCATCGAAGAAGGTATATGGATAGCAAATAAATATAAGAACAGATGCTCAACGTCTTTAATCATTAGGAAAATGCAAATTAAAATCACAAAAATAACCACAATATACTTATTAGAATGGTAAAAATCAAAAGAACTGACAATACCAAGAGCTGACAAAGTTGAAGAGCAAATGAACTCTTATCATTGCTGGTAAAAATGCAAAACTGTAGTTCCTTTGGTAAACAGTCTGGTAGTTTCTTAAATAGTTAAACACATTCCTAGTGATCCAACAGTCATATTCCTAGATATTTACTACAGAGAAATGAAAAACTATGTTCACATAAAAATCTGTATATAAATGTTTATAGCAGCTTTACATATTACCGTCAAAAAGCAGAAACGACCCAATGTCAATCAACAGGAAAAAGGATAAAGAGATTTACATTTATACAAAGATTACTTCTCACCAATATAAAAGAACACTCTTCTAATATTCAAAATGATATGAATGAATCTCAAAAACATGCAGAGTGAAAAAAAGATGCAAAAAGGTTAATGTAATTTTTCATTTATGTGAAGTTTAAGAATAGACAAAATTGATCTATAGAGACGGATGTAAGAATAGCAGCTGCTGGAGGGAGGCGTCAGAGGTAATTGATTTGAAAGGAGCATGAAGGTGAAGGATATATTCAGTATCTTGATTATAGAGGGATATATGCTTATCAAAATTCACTGAAATATATATTTTTGTGCACTTGTTTATAAATTATACTCAATAAAGTATTGTCAGCTTTTTAAGTCATCAATATATTTACTTCATAAGTATTATTCTTTCATCTTTTTTTAACCAGATTAAATTTTAACTATTTCCTTTAACCAGACCAAATTTTAACTATTTATTTTCTTTACCTGAAGGATGTGGTTCCATTTTCTTTTACTTTATTGTTCTGGACAGGAGATGCTTGGAGTGACAGAATCTTATTTCCTGGCAGGGTAATTTGCTTTAGAATGGAAGCTATACAAACAAAGGAAGAAAGAAAAATGAATTTTTTAAAAAATCATGCCATGTTAGGAAAAATGCAGAATAACAGCTTTTAGTATACACAAAATAATCAAAGAAAATTTCAAGCTGTCCTAGAACTATGTTTAAATTCAAAAATGACAATGAATATATTCCCTGAACAAGCAATCATCTTATAAAATCAAGACCTCTCCATTTCTTTTTATATAGTCTTCAAACAGTCTACAGAATTACCAGCATTATAAAAACATGCAGAAAAAGTGACAGGTGATAAATGTTAATAATATATCATTTATATTTGTAGATTTAAAAAATAGATGAAATCTCTAACCTTTACGTGTAAGAATGATTTCAAACTTAGAAAAATTACAGTCTAAAAAGAAATAAAGTTACAGCAATTTTTATGTTAAAAAGTGCTTTACTTACAAACAGGTTATTCTAATTCCAAAATACCATGAGCAGCTGCTTCTTTTATTCTAAAGCAACACATATACCTAAAAACTGGGCTATGTATGTATAAAGAATGTACTAAATGTTTATTTTTCAGCCCTCCCTCCTAGATCTTATTTAAAAGACTATCTTCTCTTAATATAACAATAAAAAAAAAAAGAGAATACAAAATCCCATCATATTCCAAACCCAGTGTGATGAAGCAGGGATGGATTGGGGTCTACCTGGAGGAAACTGGCTGGTAGGTATTGCGGTGCTCACTGGCATCTTCTTCGGTCCAGATTTCTGAATCGTCAATGCTGAGGAATGGGAAAGTGTGGTCACTTGTTTTGCAACACCTCCTGAAGGCTGCTGGACTACCTGAAACAATGAGAACTATTAATGCAGTCATCCACCTAAACCTGCTTTAGAAAAGAACAAGCTTTCAGCTGTAACAGTAGAAGTGACTGTGCTCACTTAACTGTAAATATACCTTTACATCAGCATAATAAAAGTCTACTTAAAATTTATATTTGTACATCACAAAATTATCTTGTTCACTATCACACAATATATTTTATTTTTAGAGTGGAATTCAAATTTGCATTATATACTGCCCAACTTAAACCTCCATTAGGGTCCTGTTTTCATTTTTTAACCTATGGAAATTTTCAAATATATACAAAAGTAGAGAGAAAAATAAAATGAAACCACCTATTCCATTATTACCCAGCTTCAACAATGATTCTTTTTTTTAAATATTTTATTTATTCATTTGACAGAGAGAGAGAGAGAGAGATCACAAGTGTGCAGAGAGGCAGGCAGAGAGAGAAGGGGGAAGCAGACTCCCTGCTGAGCAGAGAGCCCCATGCAGGGCTCGATCCCAGGACTCTGAGATCATGACCTGAGCCGAAGGCAGAGGCTTAACCCACTGAGCTACCCAGGCGCCCCAACAATGATTAATTCTTTACCAATTCTGTTTTATCCATTCCCACTCATTTTCTCACCACCCTCAATTATTTTTTTAAACATCCCCAGTATATCTTTTTATCCCTAAATATTTCAAAATATATTTCTAAAAGATAAGAACTTTTAATGAGCTGCTTCTTACAAGTCTCTGGAAAAAAACAATTCTAGGGCAGTCTCCAAGAGAACAGTTCAAGAAATCCAGAGGGCAAGGATCGGGGATAAAATAAGAGAAATTAAAATAATAGTAGGGCCTTATTTTTAGCTACAAAGAAGGAAAGTCAAAATAGCAGAGCTTCATTTTTTCACTTCAAAAAAGAAAAAGTCCACTGTTGATAGTGAACTACTTAAAAGTCCTTAAACTCAGATATGGCTAATATAAGTAATTCAGGAGAAAGATTTCTGAACTGAATTTTGGGGATAGGACTTATTCTGTTCTTTAATTTTTTGTAAATAAAATACAAGTTGGAATAATTTAACTGCCATCATTCTATAAAAAGAAACTTTTTTTTTTTAAAGAGAGATCACAAGTAGGCAGAGAGGCAGGCAGAGAGAGAGAGGGAAGCAGACTCCCCGTTCAGCAGAGAGCCTGATGTGGGGCTCGACGCCAGGACCCTGAGATCATGACCCAAGCCGAAGGCAGAGGCTTAACCCACTGAGCCACCCAGGCGCCCCTAAAAAGAAACTCTTGAAGGACAGAATGAACTCTTGAAAACAATGATGTATTTCAGTAAATTGAGATTATAAATTGAGTTGCATTGTAAAGTTTTAGGGGTCAGATTTATGCTCTACAAAGTAACATTTTGATAGATGAACACATAAAAGAAGATATGGTATACATACAACGGAATAGTACTCAGCTACAAAAAGAATAAAATCTTGCCATTTGCAACAACATGGATGGACCTAAGACAGTATACTAGTACACTAAGTGAAAAAAGTCACAAACTTCCAGTTATAAAATAAGACATGTGAATACAATATATAGTATATAGAATACAGTTAATAATATTTTAATAACTCTGTATGATGACAGATGATACCTATGTTTAGTGTAGTAATCATTTCCTAATGTATTTAAATGTTGAACATTACTATGTTGTATGTTGAAACTAATACTGTGGGGCCCCTGGGTGGCTCAGTGGGTTAAAGCCTCCGCCTTCGGCTCAGGTCATGATCCCAGGGTCCTGGGACTGAGCCCCACATTGGGCTCTCTGCTTGGCAGAAGCCTGCTTCCTCCTCTCTCTCTGCCTGCCTCTCTGCCTACTTGTGATCTCTGTCTGTCAAATAAATAAATAAAATCTTTAAAAAAAAAAAAAAAGAAGAAACTAATACTGTGTATCTACTGTACTTCAAAAAAATTTTTTTATATGTGTATGCATAGGGAAAGGTCTGTAAGTTAAAAAACAAACTGATTATTTCCTAGGATTCTACTGCAGGGTAATTTTGGTTTCTACTTTGTGTATTTATTATATACTTTATAGGTATCTACATTACTTGCTTTTTTATGATTAGCATAAGCTACATTTATAATTAGAAAAATAATAAAGTTGAATTTTCAATAACTAAAGATGAGAATATTATTAGAAAAAAATAAATTCTACAAAATAATATACATTCAGAATCACATTTATGCATTCAGACTGAAACTCAACAGAAACACTCTAACAATTCTGGCTTACCTTCCTATTCACATTTTCTTCCTTAATATCCTTTATTAAGTATTCTTTTCCAGTATTTTAATTGTGAAAAATAGTAATAAAATATTAGTGAAGTGTTTATGAGTTAATCTTCATACCATTTGGATAGGTACTCAAATAATAGCCCAAAGGCCTGCCCCAGAGGTGGACACAGCCTGGCTGTGTGCACCCTCAGCTATAAAGAGTGGGGGATGGGGCGAAAAGGGGTGGGCCCCATGAGATCTCTGCACCAGTGTGCAGCCCTGGCAAGAACAAGCTGGGTAAAGCAAGCCTCAGTGCCTGAGTGCCCACTGTGGGATCCTGGGTGTGCCTCACTCTGCCTCCAGCCCAACTGGGATCAAGATCTTACATGCAGAGGAAGACAAATATGCTAGTTAAAAATATAGAGAGGCACATGGATGGTTAAGTGGTGGAGCAAGGGACTCTTGATCTTGGGGTTGTGAGCTCAAGCCCCACCTTGGTGTAGTGATTAAATAAAACCTCAAAAAAGTGCACGTATATATATATATCCCTAACTTTGCAAATTATATTTATATATATTACATATATATATATTAAATATAGAAATATATATTATATGTGATATTTATATATATCATGAAGTTCTGAGCTGGGATTTAACAATCCTGGATCCCTCTCATTCCATATCTTAATGACTGTAACACTTGGAACAGCATATGTGTAGAATACTCATGCACACTTGCTGAACAAAATAAAATACAACAAATGAGAAAGTATAAGTGAATTCATTATTATTCTTTCAAAGAAGTACCATTTAAAACAACAGTGTTAGAATAGCATTTATGGAGACTGAAATTATCATAGATTGAAATTCACCTAAAGAGGTATTTACTCCTACTTGGCAAGCAAAAGAAAGAGCTATTATATTTTTAAAAACTTAAGTCCTTTACTTAATTTCCCTCCAAAAGGCCACTGGACAGGAAAATCAATAAATAGTACATACCTTAGCCTTTCCTTTTGACACGTCAAATTCTGATGTTTTACTTGGATGTTAACATAAAATAATGTTCCAGTAATTCACAGAAATACAGGTCTAGTGCTTCAAAATATTACTTGGGTTTTTTTTTTTTAAGATTTTATTTATTTACTTATTTATTTGAGAGAGAGAGATTGAGAGAGTGAGAGGAGAGAGAGAGAGAATGACAGAGGGAAAAGGGTCAGAGGGAGAAGAAGACTCCCCACTTAGCAGGGAGCCTGATGCAGGACTTGATCTTGGGACTCCACGATCATGACCTGAGCCAAAGGCAGTTGCTCAACCAACTGACCCACCCAGGTGCCCATTACTTAAGGATTTTTTTTACATTAATTACGATTTTTACATTCTGCTCCGGGATATCAGACAAGGAACTATTCATAAATTTCATAGGGAAAGGTTGCAAAGAAACACAAGTATGGATGAAACAAATAGATAAGGATGCCTTTTTTTTTTTTTTTAAGATTTTATTTGAGAGAGAGAGAGAGAGCACATGTGAGCAGGGGGAGGGGGAGAGGGAAAGAATCTCAAGCAGACTCCTTGCTAAACGAGGAGCCTGATGGAGATTGATCTCACAACCCTGAGATTATGACCTGAGCCAAAATTAAGAGTCCAGCACTTAACCAACTGAGCCACCCAGGTGATCCCATCCCTTACACTTTCCTTTCCCTGTATTTCAACCCTCACCTACTCCCCTGCTCATAAATACACAACAATCAAATGCTTACCTCTATCAAGTAGTACACACACACACAGTGATTGGAATCAAGGTATTATCTCCTCTAATTTCTACATAATATTCAATATGTGATTACTGGCATGCACTTGGTAGGCTGAGTTCTAGAAAACAGAGGACCCTAACTATACAAAAGCTGCAGCTTTACAGTCAGAAAACACATATTAGTTGCCAACTATTTCTCAGTAACAGCCAATACGTGGTTCTTGTACCACTATTTCCTTATCTTCTGGGACAATGGCATACATCACTAAATGGCATCACTTCTGTATACCTTATCTAGTCTCAGAATCTTAACACAGAGCTCCAGTAAAATCCTACAAAGAAAGTTGAAACTTGGGCGCCTGGGTGGCTCAGTTGGTTAGGCAACTGCCTTCAGCTCAGGTCATGATCCTGGAGCCCCAGGATTGAGTCCCGCATCGGGCTCCCAGCTCCATGGGGAGTCTGCTTCTACCTCTGACCTTCTGCTCTCTCTCTCTCAAATAAATAAATGAAATCTTAAAAAAAAAAAAAAAAGAAAAAAGAAAGTTAAAACTTGCTTTGCCATACATAGTCTATATTAAAACTCAATCTTGATAAACTTCAGAATACACTGTTTCTTTCATTTAAAGGCCCTTCTAAACACTTAAAAATGTGCTCAAATGAATTCTTAATTATATTACCAGCCTTTACAGGAGTCTATAAATGCTGCTTAAAATTGAGAACCTATCAATTTCTGTTAAAAAGTTAAATGTGCTTATTGTGTGATTTGATTTATATGAAATTCTAGAACAAGCAAAAATAATCTGTGGAAGAAAATTATCTACCTTTCCTCTCACTCTTAACAGAATGCAAAAAAAAAAAAGAAAGAAAGAAAGAAAAAGTGCTTAAATCTAGATCCTTAGGTCAGTTCAATATGAAAATGAGAGTGAACTACTTGAGCCAATGAAGTAATTAATTAGTAGGGAGAAAAGAAACAAGATCAATTTTTACTTCAAGTTCTCTA